ATAACCATGTGGTTCTTCTCACTCCATTGGTTTCCATAGGAATATGTAGTATATAAAATATATCTTTAAGCTTTGAAGGTGCGGTATGCATTTGTGCAGCACTAGAGTAGAAAAGTCTATTGAGATTCACAATCATCCAAGTCATGGTTGTCCTAAAAGGTGCTTTTCAAAAGGCAACTGGAGTTTCTTGGTTTTTAATGTAATAAGGCCATCTCCTAACATAATTCCATTTTGGTGAGCAGCCAACTTGCCTTGGGTAACCAAGACCCAGGTAGGCCCAAAGGGGTATGTGTTCGTTTCTGAAATATGCCCAGTTGGGTTTCAAGTCTAGCACCAGTTACAAAGGTAACTGGGGGGTAGGGGGTAGGATGGCAGTTATTAGCCAGGAAGTTCTACTTGCAGTTTGCTGCAGAAACCAGATATGAGAACCCTGTGGCTGAAATTGGGTTTGTTCGGTTTGTTGCTCGTGTACTTGTTACTGTTGTTTCTGAGGGGTCCTTGGTGCTCTCTGAGCTTGTTTGTTTTCTTTCAGATATTTCATTACCCAAACTAGGTAACATCAACAGTGCTGGTGAGGAGTGATGATGATACATAGTTTGGGTAATGAAATGTCTGCAAGAAAACAAACAAGCTCAGAGAGTACCAAGGATCCCTCCTGACAACCCTGAGCTATAAATGCTCTCCTTTATTAGTACTGTTGTCTCTATTGTGCATCCCCCCTGAACTACTCAATCTATGATGGAGTTGGTAGTGGAGTCTCTTAGACACTCGCACTCTCAGAAACTCTCCAACTTTGCTTTCCAAAAGATTTATTTATTTACTGTATGAGTTTTGTCTTTTGCTGCTTTCTTTTGATACCAGCTGGGTAAGGCACAATGCTTTGTCTTTAGAAAACATCCATTGGAACTCCAATGGCTGCCTAATTAAGAGTCTAAATTGTGTAAAATATAACATAAACTGTTTCAGAAAATAGCAGAATGGGAATTTGGAAGCAGCAGTTTCTTGCATTGTATCACACAGCTTTCCTCCCTCCCACGGAGGAATTTGAATTTCTAACAGTTAATACCAACCAATTTGACTCAGGCTTTCATGCCTCAGTTTGTAAATCTACAGTATTAAGTAGTCACATGCTTCCATTTGAGTGCCAAGCCAATTTTTCAAGCATTGTGATTACTCACTGGGAAGTGCAATGTTGACTTAAAATAGGGGGTTGGAGATGGAATAGCTTAGTTGTCATAGTCAGTTTATTCAGACTGGATATTCACATTGGGGTGACAAAAAATACACAAGCATCTAAAACTTAGTAGTAAGATTATGTATTTAGAAACCTTTACATTATTGGTTTTTGTGAGTTGTGACTTTATCTGAATCAGACCAAATATTCTGTTTAATTAAGTCAATGTTTAATATTTAATCATGCATAATTTGATTAGACTTGTGGTTTTTTTTTACAAACCTGTAATTTGTTCACACATACTGTATATAAAAGTGTTTGGATAGATCTGAAAAATAGTTCCTATCTTTATGTTAAAAAAAGAGAAGTAACAATCCTATGCAAGAATCATATATTTCAAAATATGTTTCACATGGATAAAAGGCACTGAGAGGCTTCCAAGAAGATATGACTAGATATCACATATTCAGAATTACAGGGGTGCAGGGAAGCATTCTTTGGGCTGTGGTAGAGTTCTTGTCAAAAATAAAGTACTAATAAAACTATGGTAATAATGTTGCACCAATAATTTTGTAAAATATTTACACCACTAATACAATGTACCACACTGTAGTTTTACCTAGATGGCTTGTAACTGAGCATAGACTCACTTAATCTAATTATGTAAATAATATGCCATGGCCTCCATTATCTGGCAGAAGAAGTTATGCTTCCAGTTCACATTTCTGAGGAAAAAATCATTCTGAAAGGTGATGTGGGAGAGAGATCCTACTTTCTGTGACCATGAAAAGTAATTCTTGATTATTTTCCCAATAGCTTTTTTTTGGTATGTGATCTTGACTATCACATTTCCCCACTGTGCATTTTGTTTTTCAAATTGAAAAGATTTGAAAAGATTCCTCAGCCAATCCTCATTAGGCATGTTCTCAAGCCCCTGTATCATCTCTGTGGCCCTCCTTTGACTCTAATTTATTAATATTCTGTTGGAAATGTGATGGCTGTAATCATATACACTATTCCAGGTGTAGTTTTTACTAGTACTAAATAGAATGATTTAAAGTATCTTTGATTCAGTGCTTCGTCTGATATAGCCCAGAACTGATTAATCTTTTTTACATTATCTGTCTCACTCTGCTGAGTCATGTTCAGTTTGTTGTCAATAACCTTGCCCAAGTACTTCACAGACGTAACGTTTCCATGCCACGATTCTGCCTTTGGTATGGTCCTACATTGGTTTTTTTTTTTACATTTCTCTCTGTTGAAGGATATTCCTTTAATCTTCCAACCTGTCCAGATTACACTTCAATCTCATTGTATAATCTTGTCAGTTGGCCAAATCTCCCAGTTCATGTTATTTGCAGATTTGATAAACAATCTGTCAAATCCCATAATCCAAATCATTAATAAAAATGTTAGATAATACTAGTCCCAAGACTATGAAGCTCGAGTACAAGCTGATGGGCACCTCAAAAGGACAGAAATAGAATTTTTAAGAAGAAAAGGCAACATGCAATTTAGTGAATGGATCTAATGGAAGGATGGTTTACAAGGCTCAAAATAGCTGTGATGTCAATGAATGAAATCTATATAAGGTAGACTTAGCTATATTTCTTTCTTTTTTTGCCCTTAAATCTTAAGCATTTTCAACATTCACTTTCCTTATACACACTTTTCATTATTTCTGTTAGAAAATTAAGCTATCTTTAAATCATTTTTCATATATGACATAGTTTTTCCTTACTGCAGTTCTAGTTTCTACTTTTTTTTAAACTTATTTCCTTTGGTTCCATCTCCCATCCCACCCTTTCCCCCAAGATTCATATTAGCAAAAATAAAGTCTATCCCATATTCAGAATATCTTATTACCATGATATCCTTCACTAATGCTTTCAATCTTTCAACATAAGCTGCCAATCATGGTTTTAGATTTACATACATTCCAGAACTCTTATTTAAATCAGGCAACAGCTGACAGTAATTTCTCTTGTGAACCATTTAAGATGAGAACTATCAAAGTAATTAATAATCAGGATGTTCCAATGTGGTTTTAAAAAGCTATGTTACTTCAACAAAGGTTTTTTTTTTTTAAAAAAATAAATAAATCTATGAATCACAACAATGCCAATGAGACAGGAGTTTTCAAACTTTGTGATGCTATGTACTACTAACATTTCAAATAGAATTGATGTCTTTCATCATTTTGATGACAAGCAGAGATCTTCCCTAAATAATACAGTTTCAACAGAAATCTTTAAAAACTGCAGAAGAATGCCAGGAAAAAAACCCTATTGCATATAAAGAATATCCTTTATATATAAAGAATTCCCTTTGATGGCATTTTTTTTTGATATTAACTGATTGCTTTACTCAGAGTGCTGAAATCCTAAGGAGAAATAGCTTGCAATTCTACTTATGTCTGGCTGGAGAAAATACGAGTGCTTAGAGGGATTCTTCCCTCTTTTATAAGTCTTCATTTTTAATACTGTTGATATGGTAGTGTTACCTAATGCAAAGGTTTTACTAGTTAAGAAACAGAAGCTGCATCCTAAATTCACTGGCCGCCTTTGTGGTTAGGAACAGGTGTCGTGATAGTTTTGTATCCTGAGGCTTATTGAATTAAATTGGCATATCTCCATAAAATATTTGTAATAAATTTTCATCCATTAAACTCAGTTATGTACAGCAAGTTCTATTAAAAATGAATAAATGGAAGTTTAATTTTTCATGAGATGCTTCAGTCTCAGTATTTTCAATCCAATTAGAGCTAAGATGTTAACATTTCCCCCTGCTTTGCCAGGAAAAAAAAAACAGTTTGCCAAGACTAGAACATCATTGTGTTAGGGCCCTGGGTCTCCCTCAAATTCTACTTGAGAACAGTGTGAATGAAATCATGGATAAGAACCTGCCATTAAATGCAAACAGAAAACTATGAAGTCTTAAAAATTATGAAGCAAGTAAAAATATAATTCCAGAGAGTGATGGAAGTACGTAGTTCTTTTTTGTTGATTTACAAAAGAGACTAAGTATGAAAGTATGAAAGAAATTGTAACAAGGATCAACAACTATTGGAATGGAAAGATTGTTCTGGAAAAAAAAATGAAGATACATTTGATTTTTTTTTTTTACCATGATTAAAATGGGGCTTGTTATTCTGTTGGTTGTCTTTGGATTTACAGATATTTTGATTGGAAAAATGTGACATACTGGATTTGCTTATTTGGTGTTTAAACTTTTTGCTTTATAGCAATTTCTTCTATCCTAATTGTTTGGTATTTAAACGCTTAGTATCTAATTGTGTGTGTGGGGGGGGCTTGTGTGTTTTTTTTCAAAATGGTTCTGTTGAGTTAAGTTTCTTTATATTAGTGAATAATTTAGAGCTGAGATGTAGAATGTTTATTTGAATGGGACGGGTTGCTATTTGGGACAGTTATTTCTGGAATGGTTGGCATTTGGAATGGGTTGTGTCGCATATTTAAGATTTATGCTTAATATGTTTATACTAAAATATTGGGATCTTTTTATGCATCTTAAATGGGATTGTGCTTAGAGCTAAGATGAGGAAAGTTGAATTTTTATATTTTAGAGCAGGGGTCTTCAAACTTGACCCTTTTATGACTTGTGGACTTCAACTCCCAGAATTCATCAGCCAGCCATGCTGTGTTATAGTTTTATATTTGTTAACTAAGAGGGATGAAATTTTTTACACTTGTGATAAAGGTAGAAAATTGCTTTCTTACAAGGTGGATTCTTTGTATTTTTCTTCCTTTCCTTTCCTTTCCTTTCCTTTCCTTTCCTTTCCTTTCCTTTCCTTTCCTTCCCTTTCCAGATTATTTGGCATGCCAGTTGATGTCTGCATTCTACCAAGCAGGAGGAAAGGTAATGTTACTGACAAATATTTACGATATTAAACAGCAAGATCACCATACTCATTGCTGAAAGCCCTGCAAGGCTCCTGTACATTTCATAGAACAATCCTGCAGATATTTCTCAGAAACAGAATTACAGCAACATTTTGCCAACTTTGCCTTATCTTAACTAAACTTGAGGGCTACGTGATGCTTTTAACTCATTTGAAAATGGTATGGTTGTTGTGGAAAGCTAGTTTAAAGCATGGGTGGGGTGCAACAGGAATCCTTAATAAAGATTTCCTTCTGCTCTTTATGGCCCCAGAATCATGATGGACTGTTCTCATTTGGAACGCATTAGCACAAAGAATGCGACAATGAAAACCCCAGAGAGCTGCAAGATGACAAATCGTAAGCTCTGCTGTTAAATGCACCTGTTCTGGACTTCCGGTTTTGCACAGTAGCGACCGGTCACAGGCTTGCGGATTCTCCGCACCCCCGCAGCTAATTTCGCCCTGCCTGGGGACCCTTAATGGGTCTAAGTCGCCCCGGAGAGGCGATGAAGAAAGTAGGGTGCTCCAGCAATTCTGGAATGGCGGTAGCCATTCCGTTCGACTTGGGGAAGACCTTCTAACCCAAAAGGAGAAAGGCTGGCCGTATTGCATTGACCAGCCCAAGCTACTAACAACTGAAGTCCAAAAGCACTAACCAGCACAACTGTGAACAGCGTGCTTGAAATTAGATGAGGAATTCGATCTTCTCTTTTCTAAAAGATCCCCAAGAAGCAAAATATCCCTGAAATGGCCTACCCTTATACTAACGGAAGTGGTGAATTAATCTTTTTATGAAGGATCAAAATATATGAAATTGAAAAACAAATAGTTGCTGACACCTAGTGGTGGATGAAGACTATGACAGCTATGACTTTAATATAAGATTTGGCAAAACCTGGGAAAAACTAATTTGTGTTTGTGACCTTCAAAATTTTAACAACAAAGAACAGCTGTGACAAAAATTTTAGAAAAAAATATTTTTTGAACTATTTGGATTACAAATATTTAATTGGGACTCTAAAGCTATTTGCAGAGGAAAAAAAGGAAGAGAAAAATTCAAATTCCTGGCCATCATGGATCAGAGACATGTAGAAAGAACATATCAAGAAAACATAAATATTTCACAGGAGGAGATATATAGTATACTGCAATTAATTCAAACAACAATGATTTTAAACCACAAAGAAATCCAAAATAACTTTGAAAATATAAATCAATCTATTTCTAAGTTAACTCTACAACAAAATATTCCCAGAAAACAACAAAGAGAAGGAGCGGATAAAACAGATAAATGTTTGAGAATAGAGACTTAAAGATGGAACTTAACAAAACAAGGAAACACGATTTAATCCTAGTGGAAAAAAATTCGCAAGAATTGGAAAAAACAACTTATTCCTTAAGACTACAAGATAAATCTGAGGATAAGAAAACAGATTGGATAAAATGGACTGTAGAGATGTCAGGAACATTGGAGAAAAAGGAAATGATAAGAGAAGCGGAGAGAAAGAAAAAGATTTTCAACAAACGTGGAAAGGCAGAAGCCCCGTACAAAGACATTTCACCTGATTTACTTTTTATATCTACAGCAACATTTACAAACATACGGAAAAAAATTTTCATTCAGCAAAATACATTGATTAAGAAAGATACTGGGCAAAGAAAAAAGACTAAAGTGGAAACCAAGAAAATAGATGATGGGACTTACCAGAGAGAATACTTAAAAAAGAAACATTTGTTTGAATATGGTTAAAGAAATAGAAAAGTTTTGGAATATATATGTCATTCTAAGAGGAATGAATTCCCTAAATAATATAATATGCTTTCCCCCCCTTTTTTGTTCTCTTTCTTAATATGAGTAATATAAAAAAATTGAAATGACTTAGATAAATGTTTTAGATACTTAAATGTGATTGAATTTAAGAAAAGTTAAGAAAATTATAATGGATAAAATGTTTTGAATAAGAGTTAACGGACTAGATGACTAGATGTATTAAATTGAATGTTTAAAGATTAAACATATTTTTAATTACGGTTAAAAAGAATAAGAAATTAAGGAAATAAATATATATTAGCTTAGGAGGGATATATATTTTAAGTAGTATGTTATTTTTTATGTTTTTTTTACTCTTGCTGTCCTTTCTTTCTTTTTTATTGTTTTATCTATTCCTTAAATGTAAAACTGTGAGATGTTTCATATGGAAAAATAGAGTTAAATTTTTAAATGTAATTAATTTTTGAGAAAATCTTAACCAGTAAGAATACCTAGAATTTAGTGGGAGAAACAAATTAAAATAAGGACTGTAACAGGATCTATGATAAGGCAACCAGAATGATTGGGTAGAAAAGAAATATTATATTGATGCGATTATTATTTTTAGGAATATTGGGAAAAATTATATATTTAATTGTTATCTATCCAAACAATAAAAATTGTATTAACTCAATGTTTGCAAAAGAGGATATTTTGGGAAAAGAGGAAATCAACTAAAACCATTATGTGGATTATGGATTATAGAAATCAATTGTTAATGATTGCTTTACAAATGTAACCCAGGCAACACACTGTTCACCAATTATTAAGTGGTTTATGTTTTTTAAAAAATCAATAAAATATATTAGAAAAAAAATGCACCTCTTCCAAACTTTTTAGAAGTTAAGAACTAGGATATACATGTGAAATATAAATACATAAATAAATAAAAATAATATTACTATAGGGAATGGAAAGTAGAGATAACATCGTTCAGTAATATTACCCAGCAGTAGTTATGAACCGCAGCAAGGCTATGGTCTGAAATGTTCCAGCAGTAGTTATGAACCGCAGCAAGGCTATGGTCTGAAATGTTCCAGAAATAATGCTAATTAAAATAAATTCATTCATCTGAATACTGCTTTTTTTGGCCTGGAAGAGATACAGATTACAGCCCTCTTTTTCAATGGATAAAGCAGAGACCTAAATCTGATGATTGCAATTTTTGCAAAGGAATCATTCTGCCCTTCTGCCCTGCTGCTTTCAGTTAAATTCACCAGGACTGGATTTCTCAGCACACTCAGTCTTGAAGTAGGCCCTGACAATGAAAACAGAACAGTACAGCAGTCTGACAAGTCAGCAATGTGTGTTTGGATTGACTCTGTTCTGTTTGCATGAACAGGTCTGTCTTCTTTTGCTTCTTCTCCTTTGTGTGTTATCAGCCTGTAACCTCTAGATTGGTTTGACAGGCATCATGAATGCCTCATTTGCCAGATATGCAACCTATCCATTTTGCATTCTAGTCTTTTCCTGATCTGTCTTGATTCATTTCTACCTTTTCAAAGTCTAGATCTGGCCTTGGTTTATGCAGTTGCTCCCTATGTGGATTCTATAGGGCTACATTTGAATGAATCTTACAAAGTTTTATATAAATTATTCACCACAATACATGGTTGGGTTGATTGTGTGTCAGCAACCACATAGATTGATTTCCCAACATGGACATTCAGGTTTTCCAACAGTGCAACCATCTTCCCTGTAATTGAGTCCATCCACCTTGCTATTGATTATCCTTTTTCCTTCTACTTTTCCAGCTTTGTAGACTTCTTCAGAGAGATAGGTCTTTATATAATGTATCCAAAGTATGGTCATTTGAGCCTGGTCATTTATGCCTTAAGTGATTCTGGGATGATTTGTGTATCCATTTCTATTTTTCCTTGGCTCTCCATGATCTTTTTAGCAGTCTTCTCCAACACAACATTCAAAAACATCAATATTCTTGCTATCCTGCTTCTTCAAAGTCTAATTTTTGTTCCATAGATTTTCACATGGAAAGCCATTAGCTTGCAATTCTGATCTTTGTAGGTGAAGACATATCATGATATCTGAATATTTCTACTCTCTAGTGCTAGTGTGCAGTGCATTTTTAAATTGCTAGCACCTTGTTAATTTTTATATACAATCCTAAATTCAGAAGCTATCCATCACTTCAATATCCCTATTGTCAATTCCAGACATAGTTGAAAAAAAAAAAGACAGTCTAAATCAGGCATTTCAAACTCACGACATCACGTGATGTCGTGCGATGTATCGTGACTTTGTCCCCATTGCCAGCAATGGGGTGGGCACGGTTTCAGTATGATGCATCCAGCCTGTGAGCTGGCAGTTTGACATGCCTGTTCTAAATAAACCAAAGCAATGCAAAACCCCAACCTTTTTTCTGTAAGCAACACAGTTCAAGACAACAGAACAATAAAAGTAATTGGGAAATTAGAATTTGCAGCTTAAAGTCATAACGTTGAATTAACAATATTAATAAAAACCCAAACCATGGTTTTTTGATTGATTTCTATTTGCCTTATAATTTAATAGTTCATAAATATTATAGAACTCTCTTATCAATTAGTTCCCAGAAGACGTACACCACTTTTATTATCCAAGCTTCTTGCTGAATGTTGACTTTGTCCTTACTGGGCTAAATCAAACAGTTCATAAGATTTACCTATAATGTCCCTAATCTAGCATCATTTTGGGAAGTTATTTAAAAAATGAAAATATTCAGTGTTGCTTAGTATCTGAGTAAGGTAAGCCTGGCAACTTTACTCATAAGGAGAATCAAACATTTTGCTTAGAACATTTCAAGCAGGCAGCTATCTTCGATAAATCAGGCACTTATGGTCACTAAAGGGCATAGAATTATTCTCCAAGGTTTCATTTGTGCAATTAGGGATATCCATGGTATGTGTGTATCAATAAAGTAATATGATAGCTATGATTTAATACTTAAAGCCTTTCTCATACATCAGTCACATAAAAAGAGGGCTTCATCATTAAGACATAACTATTGTTTTGACATTTTTGATCCCCTTAATGCCCTTGGTGGAATCCAAAAGTAAATGAAGAATACTTCAAATAACGTTTTAAAATGAAAAAATAATCAGTGCTTATGTTCTTTACTGAAATTCCACAGATGTTATGTTAGCTTGCCAATAATTTAGAAATTTTTGAGTGAAGATGCCTAAATCTTGATAACCTTTAAAAATATTGCTTGAAAGTGCCTGGTACCTGAAAGTATGTTGAGCTAAGTCAATTTGTGTGAGATGGCAGCCATATACAGTTAACCAATAAGTAAACAAATAAAATGAGATTATGGGATATCTTCAGTCTGGACCTGAGGGTAAAAACTGAATCTTTCTTCTTATGGTTATTCCATTTGTTTCTACTGCCTTTTTCTTTTCTCTTATTCTTTTTTATTTTTCTTCTACTGATTTGAGTATATCTAAGAGAACCATAATGAAAACCTGTTAGTCAGTTGAGGTGCTAATACATGAGACCCAATCCAGTACACCACAGTGGAGAAAGTGCTGGACTATGAGTGAGGAAAGCCAGATTTTGAAGTACAGTAGCATCAGTTATGGGTCAATTACTGTTGTGGGGGGGGGGGGAAATAGAAAAAGGTTGCGTTATATACTTCATGTCGAACTCTTATAGAAAAAAAGGCGGGATGTAAAACTGATAAATAAAATATAACTCTTGCTGAAAGATTTTTTTTTCCATGCCCTTTTGTACCCATTTTTGTTTGTCATGGTTTTAGCGATCTTAGTAGCTTTCATCTCTGCTTCCAAACAAACCAATGGCAAACCATCTGAAGTTGCAAATTAGACTCATTAACATAACCAGCAATTAAACCACAGCTCACTCTGCTGTCCTGAG